GATGGTACGACGACGATAAAATAGACTACGACCACTTGATGGTGTAGCGGCGACGAAGGGAGGTTTGTGATCGAACGCTCAAACCATAATTACCGGATGGGTTCGATAATATATTAATATATGTATAAAAATTAGGAATATCTTTGTAATTGTTTTTTATTATACTCATATAATGACTATAATATTTTTAATAAAACATAACTTTTAGTGGGCATTTTAAGACATTATGTCACTACTAGTTAAGAATATTGGTGATATAAAAATATTAAGTGCTATTAAATTCATTAATTTTTATAGTAACACACAAAATATGTCACTAAAAACATGATATATATATATATATATATATATATATATATATATATATATATATAATTACTTTTTAATAAATTGAAACATAGTTTTGTATTTAACACTATTATTAACGTATCCCTTAGGGGGGAACGTCAAAAAAGAGAAGTCAAACTGACGCCAAGCTTGGCCTGGCTAGAACCTGGTCATGTCCAGTCTGGGGCCAAGGCCGAACCTTTGCCAACGCAGAGTCACTGGTATGGCAGTTAAGGCACAGAGCTGCGCCCTGCTTTTTTCTCCAAGGAGAAATACCCCGAAAAACGTGGGACCAATCAAAGAGCCCCACTTGCCCATCTGACGACAACCACGATCATCACAATATCAAAGATTCTCCTCTAGCCAATGAGGCAACGAGGCAAAAAGATGTGATGAAGGATCCTTCAATACGGGTCCGCCAAGTCACGTCTCACGAGGGAAGGCTCAACAGAATCAGTTAAGAGGCACATGCCTCACAACCAGGTATAAAAGAACCCTTCTTCTTCATGAGGAGGGGATGGAAACTCATTTCCCTAAGATTTACATTGACTTCTCTCAGAATCCATTCTAACTTGATCGTCATAGCTTCGTCCATTCCACCATCCTTTTGATTTTTAGGCTGGTGTTTATCCTCATCAAATTTTGCTCTGAGCTCTTATGTTATGTCAACTATGTTTTCAACTAGCAGTTTCTCGTCTATCTCCCTTTTCAATATCGTGCATTCGGTGGTATCATGAGTTTTGCTCTTGTGATATTCATTGAACTTTGTCTTGTCCTTGCTCTCCTATGATGGAGTTTTATTGATTGCATGGACATTTGGATGACCGTTCCTGTCGTTATCTTTGTTTAACGGTTTTTACCTCTTCGACATGTGTCTTGAGTGGCGATTGTGCTTCTGTTGGTTGCCGTCTTGCCTCTCCTGCTGGGCTGAGCTCGGCCGGGATGCCGCTTCCTCCTGTTTGATGTATGCATTGGCTACATCTTTTAGATTGGCCTCTTTTTGTTCTTCCCCTTCGATTAGTCTCATGTATTTTTTTCACACGGAACTTGAGCTCGTCCCTGGATCTGGGGACTGTCCCTTGCATCTTATTTGATAGGGGTCCAGGAAGCAAAACTTAGGCGAAGGCGGCCGTCACCAGGAACTCTTCATCTCCTGGGACATTCAAGGTAGCTAGTGTGAATCGATCATAATAGTCACGAATCGAATCTCCTTCTTTTTGTTTACACATCATCACAGAGTTGGCGTCCCTTTTTTCCTTTCCTCAACTGCATGAAGTTGTTGAGGAAAAGGTATTTCAACTGCTCAAAACTCCAGATATTGCCAGGCCTCAGATACTTAAACCACTTGCATGCGTTTCCCGTTAGGGTGCAGGGGAAATAGGTACAGGTGAAGCGACGATCCATCTTAAGAGATGTCATCGTCCACTCGTAGTTGTCAATGCAGTCATTCGGGTCTGTATTACTGTCGTATTTTGGCATGTGCGATATCATCGTAGTATGCAGAATCTCGTATTGCAGCAGCTCATGACTAAAATTGGAGCTTGCGCTTTGCATGGGGTTGTCCATGTACGAGTAAAACATACCTTCATAGTCCATATGTTGCTGCGCCTAGTAAGGGATCGCATAAGAGTTGAACGCCAGGTCCATAAGAGTTGGATACCTGATTGATTGAGGTACGCACGCCTGTGACTTGCGGCTGAGACACTTCTGGGATTGAACCTGGGGTTTGCTGTGTGAACGAGTTGAAGATCGGTGGTTGTTGTACGAATAGCGGCACGTGAGGCAAGCCTGCCATGGTGGCGTGTGGGTAGACCATCGGTGAATATTGTAACTACGGTTGAATATTGTGAGGGATCCAGGTTCTGGTGCCCGAAGTGTGTGGAAGCGATCGTTGCTGGGAAACATGCATCTCTATTCGTTGCGTTGTAATAATCTGTGGAGTTGTGGTTACAATTGCTGCTTGTAGAGGTGGGTTAGCTGTTGGGCAACATAGACTGGCTATGTAGGTTGTCGTCGTTTCTGCTATAGAGTTGGATGGTGTCTGTGAAACTAGCGTGCGATTTGAAGCGTGTTCTTCGTGGGTGGGAACTTTCCCTCCGTCTAACGGCTTCATTGGACGCACTGGGCTTGTTTCTGGTACTCTTGACGTCGCCGAAATTTCGCCTTCCATTTTTGCTCTTTGGTTGTGCTTCGTGGATGTATTGTTCTCGAGATACGTCCGGATGGCGCCAAATGTTGTGATATGTCAGAGATGGTTAAACAGAGATCAAGGGTGAAAGTTGTGCTGATTCTTTCTCCTGATATCACAGTACAAAAGAGAAAGATGATCGTTAGTCAATGTCCGGGAGGGATTCCCAGGACGAAGCTCCGACGATCAAGTTAGAATGGATTCTGAGAGAAGTCAGTGTAAATCTTAGGGAAAAGAGTTTTCATCCCCTCCTCATGAAGAAGAAGGTTCCTTTTATATATGGTTGTGAGGCGTGTGCCTCCTAACTGATTCTGTTGAGCCTTCCTTCGTGAGATGTGACGTGGCGGATTTGTATTGAAAGATCATTTCTCACGTCTTTTTGCCTCGTTGCCTCATTGGCTAGAGGAGAATCTTTGATATTGTGATGATCGTGGTTGTCGTCAGATGGACAAGTAGGGCTCTCTGATTGGTCCCATGTTTGTTGGGGTATTTCTCCTGGGAGAAGAAAGCAGGGCGCAGCTCTACGCCTTAACCGCTATACCAGTGACTTCGTGTTGGCGAAGGTCCAGCCTTGGCCCCAGACTGGACATGACCAGGTTCTAGCCAGGCCAAGCTTTGCGTTAGTTTGACTTCTCTTTTTTGACGTTCCCCCCGAGGGATACGTTAACAACTATGCTTTATGCAATTTTCTATATGTATGATTTTTTTATTTTGCACTATAAGATATTAAATGTGTAATTTAGTTTTGATTAATACATGTACAAAGTTTTAGAAAAGAATATATATATATATATATATATATATATATATATATATATATATATATATATATATATATATATATATATATATATATATATATATATAGACTTAAAATCATGATATAAAAATGTATGCCGTAAAATTATGTAAAAAAATACTTAACTTACAAAATATGTGTTGTAAAATGTTTGTCAAGATTTACAAATATATTACAAATTACGACATACAAAAGTCAGTCAAAAATAGATATCGGAAAATTATGTCGTATATTTATGTCATAATATATGTCGTAAATTTATGACGGACCAAATGTTTGTCATCATGAATTTCAATGACCTAAATTTGTTATCATGTATGACGGTTTATGACAAACATTGTATGTCATGAAAAACCTTTTTTCCGGTTGTGAGCTTCTAAAATTGAACTTCATAATAATATGAATGTTAACATTTCCAACACTATGTTCTTTTTTCTTTTGAACATAGAGAACATTGTAGATATATTTGAAGATAGCCATAAATATAACTTAAACCTATAACCAAACCAAAATATTTACTAAAACTTGGAAATAAAACTATGTATAACTAAAATCGGCCAGGTATATTTGTAATGCTAATAAAGTTGCAAAATGCTTAATAAAACTAGCCACACTTGTAACCTATTCATAAATATGGACAAATTTAAGAGTCAATTCCATTCACTACCAATCAAAATCATTCATTAGTTAGATATTAACAATCATCAAAATGTCCTAAAAACCTCATAATTAATCCACACGCTGATACGACAAGAATCAGTTGCAATCAGGTCCTTCTAGTTTTTTTAGCTTTGCTCTGAGCAATTATCTCATTCAATAAAAAGTGGCCCGTCTACAATTTTGCATTCCGTTAATGAAAAGATGTTGACCTTGCGAAATAATCGATCCCAAGATATTTCTGATGCGGTTTGCGAAAATTTTGGAGACCATGTTGTGTAACAATCCTTTGAGATCAACTTTAAATTTGATATTTGATATTAGTTTGGTTTTATTATCTTTGTTAGCATTCTCTTTTGATATTATAGTATTTGTTTATATTTGTTAGGTTTTAAGTTTTTGTGATCCGGATATTAGGTTTTGCTATCAAGATTTTAAGTTTTGTTAGCTTAAATTTTAAATGTGTATCTCTAAGAAGATCCGACTTCAAATTTTCGATATTTGGAATTGTGCCATATAGGTTCTTATTAATTTCAGATAGGGGTTATTTTTTCGCTAAGTTTCTAGAAAATCTTGATATAAATTCACGAGTTTTGTTGTACATTCTTCCACCAGGCTATCCAAGTATTATGCAAAATTAGTATTTACTACTTAAAATAGAAATTATCTAAAATATAGATTAACTAGCACTTTTTGTAAAAATTTAGGGATATGCAATCGCATACCCTTATTAAACTACAGATCTGCCCCTGGAGCCTAGCACTTTGCCAGCACTAGCTTGAGCAATAAAAAAAACTTAATTTTGCGGAAAAGTTTAAAAGAAAAATCATAACACATGTTTATATTTGGATTTGACTAAGTATATATGCACTAAGGATTTCACATGAGCACGACACGTGTGTAGCTGGATGACCACATTTGTTATTTTTGAATGACCGAGTTTGATGGGCTTGTGTGTCCTCTCATTCATCCAAGGCTAAAGCTGTATATAAGATCCGAGTTGCATGCCATTCCTAATTTCATAATTAACGTTGAATACAAACCTAGAGAAGCAAGAAATGGAAAGGAGCAAATTAATTTTAATTTCAGTCGTAGTTACATTGATTTGTTGTTTAGGGGTTGTGCAGGGGTTCACATATGACGACAAGGAGGTTCATACGGAGAAGGGGAGGGCGGCTATGTTTGAAAGATGGAGGAGCCACCACAAGTTGGAGGAAATAAGCGTGGAAACGAAAAAGAAGCAGTACAAGACCTTCAAGTCTAGACTGGAACATGTTCACAAGACAAACAAGGCGAACTTGGGATTTAAGTTAGAGCTGAACAGGTTTGCAGGGATGACTCTCGAAGAGATACATAGCAAGCTTACCGGATTTAAAGGTGCCCCACCGAATCCTTGCCCAAACAACAATCCTTGCCCGGCAAAAGATAATTGTAATCCCAACAATCCTTGCCCTTGCCCCGCAAAAGATAACTGCAATCCTTGCCAGCCAAACGATAGCAACAGTTCTTGTCCCCCAAAAGATACCGAGACCATTTTCAAGCCAATAGATAACACGGGTTGCCCGGGCAGCAGTTGCCCGGCAAAGGACGGTGGTTGCCCGGCGAAGGACGGAGGTTGCCCGGGCGGCAGTTGTCAGGCGAAGGACGGCATTTGCCCGGGCGGCAGTTGCCCAGCGAAGGACGGCGGTTGTCCGGGCGGCAGTTTCCCGGCAAAGGACGGCGGATGCGCGGGCGGCAGTTGCCCGGCGAACGACGCCGGATGCGCGGGCGGCAATTGCCCGGCGAACGACGGCGGTTGCCCGGGCGGAAGTTGTCCGGCGAAAGACGGCGGTTGCCCGGACGGCAGTTGCCCAGCAAAGGACGGCAGTTGCCCGGCGAAGGACGGAGGTTGCGCGGGCGGCAGTTGCCCGGCGAAGGACGGCGGTTGCCCGGGTGGCAGTTGCCCAGCGAAGGACGGCGGTTGCCCGGGTGGCAGTTGCCCAGCACAGGACGGCGGTTGTCCGGGCGGCAGTTGCCCAGCGAAGGACGGCGGTTGCCCGGGCGGCAGTTGTCCGGCGCAGGACGGCGGTTGCCCGGACGGCAGTTGCCCAGCAAAGGACGGCAGTTGCCCGGCGAAGGACGGCGGTTGCGCGGGCGGCAGTTGCCCGGCGAAGGACGGAGGTTGCTCGGGCGGCAGTTGCCCGGCGAAGGACAGTGGTTGCGCGGGCGGCAGTTGCCCAGCGAATGACGGTGGTTGCCCGGGTGGCAGTTGCCCAGCACAGGACGGCGGTTGTCCGGGCGGCAGTTGCCCAGCGAAGGACGGCGGTTGCCCGGCAGGCAGTTGCCCGGCGAAGGACGGCGGTTGTCCGGGCGGCAGTTGCCCGGGGAAGGACGGCGGTTGCCCGGCACAGGACGGCGGTTGCCCGGGCGGTAGTTGTCCGGCACAGGACGGCGGTTGTCCAGGAGGCAGTTGTCCGGCAAAGGACGGTGGTTGTCCAGGAGGCAGTTGCCCGGCGAAGGACGGCGGTTGTCCAGGCGGCAGTTGCCCAGCGAAAGACGGTGGTTGCCCAGGCGGCGGTTGCCCCGGTGGTAGTTGCCCGGCGAAGGACGGTGGTTGCCCGGGCGGCAGTTGCCCAGCGAAGGACGGTGGTTGCCCAGGCGGCGGTTGCCCTGGTGGAAGTTGTCCGGCGAAGGACGGCGGTTGCCTGGGCGGCAGTTGCCCAGCGAAGGACGGTGGTTGCCCAGGCGGCGGTTGCCCTGGTGGCAGTTGCCCGGCAAATGACGGCGGTTGCTCGGGCGGCGGTTGCCCCGCAAAAGATGGTGGTTGCCCCGCAAAAGACGGCAGAGAGGCTACCGCAAGTAAGGACAACTGGTATTGGGATTTCAAGTATCGTAATGTCACTGACGTCCCTGCTGAGATGGACTGGAGAAACCATAATGCCGTTACCCGTGTCAAGAATCAAGGAATGTGTGGTACGTAACACCGGCCTACACTTTTTTTTAATTCTTTTTGCAACTTATATAAACAAACGTGCATGGTTCATTTGAATTTAAAAAAAAAAAAGCAAAGATAATTAATTAAGGATTTGATCGAGCATGGTTGGGAATTTGTAATATTAAACGTACGTACTGCATGCAGGGAGTTGCTATGCATTTCCAACAGTGGATTCCGTTGAAGGAATACATGCAATCGTAAATGGCGAGCTAATAGAATTATCACCAAAAGAAATTATCGACTGTGCTAATGTGGGCGGATGTAACGGAGGGTCACCTCAAGATTCTTTCAAATACATCGCCAATAATGGAGGTCTAACTACCGAGAAGAACTACCCTTACAAACCTGAAGTTGAGACTTGCAGATTACAAAAGGTAATGCATTGATATTAATTAATTGTTGATTTCACGTGCATTAATTATATTGAGGGATTAATTAAAATTTGCATGCATATGCATATGCATGTGTATGTGTCAACTTTTTCAATTACGACAGGCGAATGATATTGCCGTAGAAATTCATGGATATCAAGACGTTCCTAGGGACGAAACTGATGAGCATCTTTTGAAAGCAGTTGCACACCAGCCTGTAGCTGTTGCAACGTCATGGGGAGATAATTTAGCATTATATAAAGAGGTGACTCAAAACTCACATACATAATATATATATATATATATATATATATATATATATATATATATATATATATATATATATATATATATATATATATATATATATATATATATATATATTATTACATTAAAAACAAATTCTACATTCTTCATATTTCACTATATATGTATGATAAGGTAATTAAGCTAAATAATTTTGTAGGGAATTGTGCAAGGACCATGCGAAACGACAGTTTTGCATTCAACGCTAGCAGTTGGATACGGAACGGCTCCAGATGGAACCAAGTACTGGATATTAAAGAACTCGTGGGGAGAAGAGTGGGGAGAAAAGGGATACTACAAACTACACCGTGGAATTCCTGACAAGAAGGGAATGTGCGGCATAGCACAATTCCCTGCTTATCCTGTCATTGAAGCCGATAGTGGAATACATGCCTCACCTGGTGCAGTTGTTAAGAGTATTAAAGATAAAGTTCTTAAGGCTTTTAAAGAACTCTAAACGTACGTGTACGTATGCCCAACTTAATTTCGACGTCACTGATGCTCCATTCTAAATAATCGGTTGCAGACGCTGATCCGATTCAGACAACTATTAATTTTGTATTATGAAACTAGAACAAACTTTAGAATAAAATAGCTTGCATTAGTCCTCTGTTTTAAGGAATTAAAATATAGACACACACTAGTGGGGGACCATGCAATGCAGTGGACCACAATTAGTTTCCTTGTTGTGACACGTCACACTCCAGAGAACATGGAATGTGTGGCGGCGATTAGTTTGCTTTGGCTCGGTAGTTTTGGGTTAAAAATATTGTAGCTTTTTGGGTTACAAATAAAAACGTGCTAATGTTTGTGGTTAAAAGTATAAGTATCGTGGTGATTTGGGATAATCATATACGTATTTTGTTTTTTCTTATGGGTTAATGTTTTGCATCGTTCATCAATGTAGAGCATGCATAATTATTAAAGGTTGGTAATATATAGTTGGTTCTCTCAAAAAAAAACTTTGAAATACACACAATGCATCGCTTTTTGAAATACACGCAACACATAAGTTGATCGATCAGTGGTGTAAGTAATATAGGTGTCGGTGCTATCAAAAGGGTGAGCCTACATATATCAAATTTGAAACTTGAATCCTGGATTCGTCACTTGCTGTCAAATATGGCTAACGGTGGTACGTTAAAACAAAATAAAGTATGTTACTATATATTACATTAAATGATTTGTTTAAAAAAGGTAAATATAAAAATGATATGTTTCAAAACAGCTCATTTTATTTTTTGTATAAATATGCCCATTAAATTCTATCTATTTTGGTAACTACTCAAGTGTCCAGACCCCTTGAAACTTAAAAGAACCCCATGGAGCCATTTGTTTCTCTGTTGCTAAAAGTATAGCAAAATGAAAAAACCATATGTTGCTGCTTTTATTTATATATTTTGCAGTTCAAAAAAAATATGTTTTTTGTATACATTAGAAAGTTTCCTTTTGTTTTGGTTTTTCAGATTTTTTCAGTCTCTTGACGAAGATCGTGTGCATCAGTGCATCCGCATATGGGAATTCCCTCCGGCTTTTGAGTTTGTACCAGAAATCAAAAAACAAATCAACGTTTTAATTAGGGGTATTCTTGTAATTATTTGTCATCGAACTCGTTTGTGGAATCACAAATTCTTCTCTTTATTAATCAGTTAACATCCATAATAATTAGGTATACATGCACAAATATTTAATACCAGTTAGCACGGCTTGCACGTCCACTTGAGCTGCACCCTTCATGTTCGCCAACGTCTACGGATCTGGCAAGATTACAACACACACTAAATAATGATAATAATTATTATCCTTCCTGAAATAAAAATAAAAAGTAATAATATGATTCTGCAAAAATACTGAAATAAAAAAATTCGTTAATTTCCCCACTTAACTCATGGTTGAAGCTATTTTGTTTGATATGCTCCAACACCAAGATTAAGTTTCATTCCGCCACACACCATCTATTGTAATTTGTTACATACATTTCTGATTAGTGTTAGGGTTTAGTTAGATAGTCTATGTATTCATGGTTCTATACTCTTTAATAGACACAGTGAATTAACCATAATCACATGGTATTAGAGTCTCCAGGTTAGAACATGTACCATCATCACAGAAAATAGCCTTTCGTCTTTTTGATTGTTTTTTTTTTAACTGAATTAGAGAGGAAATTAAATCTAATACTACTAGAAAACTAGGTAAGTTGCTAAAAAAAATACCTACAAAATTTTTTAGTAAAAAAAATACCTACGGAATAGCGACAGATTCCCTACCAAAACTGGTTGCCCTAATTTAGTGAGAGACTTCCTACAGAATAGCTAAAAATTATAATTTTGTAGGTATTTGGTCGGTAATTTGCTACGGAACACCTACTAAATTACTACATATAATAACATTGTAGGTATTGCGTAGATAATCCGTAGTAAACTTTTATTTCTTCCTTTTTATTATCTAAATTATTACTAATATTTTTTATATTATATTTATTATTAATGTTATAAATATATTTATTAATTTATTTGTATTATTACATTTATAAATTATTATTTTATTTTTATTACTATAATTATTTATAGACTTATAGTTATTATTTATTTATTTTATTTATTATTATTATTATATAATATTTATTACTATTAATAATATTATTATTATTATTGTGATATATATATTTTATATGTGTGTATTTAGGTGTATGTATTTTAGTGTGTACATATATGTATGTGTATTCTATATACGTATATGTATGTGTATTCTATATACGTATATGTCTACGTATGTATATATAGAAAAATGATAAAACATGAAACGATTCATAAATTTTGATGGTAAATAAGATTATATATATGTTTATATGATGTATAACTTGCTTAAAAAAATAATCAAAGTATAATATTTTTGTGAAAAAAATGAAGCAAAAAAACGATGTTTAATCATTCAAAAAACAAATATAAAAAACTATCGTAGGTAATCTATAGTTAATTACCTACGGACTGCTGGATATCCGTAGGTATTTACCTACAAATTATCTACTATAGTTTTTGTATTTTATATTTTTCGATAGTCAACTATCATTTTTTTTTTCGTTTCATTTTTTTACAACATCATTATACGTTAATTACTTGGTTTTGAGTAAATTATACATAATATAAACACACGTACAACGGTATGCACCATTAGCACTCATTACTCATTCAAACTTTTATTCTTTTTATTTTTATAAATACATGTTATTTTCAATACAAAAATTATAAGGATACACACATACATAAACACCCATATGTATGTATTATATTTAGTTTATCATGTATATGTTAAATGATGGTTAATTGTATTTCAAGAACAAACATATATAGTTTTTGTATTGTGTATTATGTATAATAAAGGGGTCTAACGGTTCACACAGTATTATGTACATTTATATGACGTATAACTTGGTGAAAACAAAGTATTCAAAGTATAATGATATTGTGAAAAAAAATGAAACAAAAAAAACCCGACATTTAACCCTTGAAAAATAGAAAATACAAAACGGTCGTAGGTAATCTATAGGTAAATACCTACAGATTACCTACGGACACAGGTTATCCGTAGATAATCCGTAGGTATTTACCTACGACCGTTTTTGTATTTTCTATTTTTTGAGGGTCAAATATCGTTTTTCCATTTCATTTTTTCACAACATCATTATACTTTGATTAATTTGTTTTCACCAAGTTATACATAAAATAAATATGCGTACAAACGTCTGCATCGTTAGAATCCATTACTCACACTACAATAAATCAAGGCTTTAGCGGCAACACAATTAGCGGCGATAATGGCTTTTAGCGGCGGCACAACACTTTGTCTCCGCTAATTGTGTCGCCGCTAAAGCCTTGTTGCCCGAATCTGCGTTATCCCCTTCTGGTAGACCTCAGCCGTCCGATCAAGTATCTGATCAAGTATCTAATCCAACGCTTGGGGCCTCTTTTTCACACAAAACCAATACCGGCGACAATTTGTCGCCGCTAAAGGTCGAAATCGTCGCCGCTAATTGTGGAATAAAAAAAGACGCGGTACCCTTCCCTCCAGATAGTTGCCTCTGTTGCTTGTTGTCGCCGGTAAAGCCTTAAGTGTCGTCGTTAAAAGTGTCGCCGCTAAAGGCCTTGGCAGATAATTAAAAGAAAAAAACGACACATACTTCACTTTTCCTTCTTGTTTTCATCTCGTTGTCTCGTTCGTTATTCCCCCATTTTCTATGCGTTATCATCGATTCCGACAAAGAGTCTCCCCAGCATTGTGAGATTACCGATCAAAGGGGTTTAGGGCTTCAATTACTCCGGCGAAAACGGGTTCAACTCACGAAAACAATGCATCTCGGGTAAAAGGTAACATCAACTTCTGAGTTCTCTTTGTCTTTCTCTTATAACATCGATTTCTAGCTCCATTTGATGATTAATTGCAATATACTTTTCAATCTTAGATTTTTTGGTCATTTTGTATTGATCACCATCCTGGGTTTACTGTGACTACTGGCGGGTGAGAGTATTTTACGGTGAGAACCAATTTTTCCGGCGACATTGAGTAATTTCCACCACCACAGGTTCTATTTACTTCTATTTATTGTGAAATTTGAGTTTAATTGCAAACTATGTGTAGTTGTATAAATTATGTGAAAATTGGCATATATATTCTATATGTATGTGAATCTATGTAAATTTGGTGTATATATGTCAACGTATGTGTGTTTGGTTTATATGTGGTATATGAATGTGAAATATGTGTATTTGGTATAAGTAGGATGTTATTATCTATATATGTGAAAGTATGTGTGTATTTGGTATAAGTAGGATGCTATTATGTATGTATGTGAATTATGTGTGTTTGGTGTATGTGATATATGAATATGAAATTTGTGTATTTGGTATAAGTAGGATGTTATTATCTATATATGTGAAAGTATATGTGTATTTGGTATAAGTAGGATGTCATTATGTATGTATGTGAATGTATGTGTATTTGGTGTATATGTGGTATGTGTATGTGAGAGTATGTGTATTTGATGCTCTTATGTATTATGTGAAAGTATGTGGTTTTTGTATAAGTAGGATACTCTAATTGAAACAAAAAACAAAAATAAAATGTTATAAAATTGTTTAAAATACAATGTTATAATTGGAAATATATATATATATATATATATATATATATATATATATATATATATATCTATATATATATATATATGATGGAAAAAAGCTAATCGCTAAACATATACCAAATTATTAGTTTTGATTTATTTAATATAAATGTTTTTCATAAACGTGCGGAAAAAATCGTTGGATCTTTGACCTTTTTATTTAATACTTACAACTTTTGCCTATATAAATTACAAGTAATTGTAATTAAAATTAATTAAAAAAACGCATAAATAAAAAAATTTAATTTTAATTATTTTTAAATTGTAATATCTACTTTTTTGAGTCACGTGTGTATTTTTAAAACAAAAGTTAGAAATTCTTACATTTTTATGTCTTTTTTAGTTTTTAAATTTTTTATTTGCAACATACTTATACAATGCTGTGAATAAAATATATATATATATATATATATATATATATATATATATATATATATATATATATATATATATAAAGGTAAAATAGTAAGATGCATGTCTTCGAAAACATAAAGTAAACCACTACACTAAAAATTAACAACATAATATAATTCTTTAAAGTATAATGCTATGATTGGAAAAAAAATGTTATAAATAAAAAAATATATATAAAAAGGTACAATAGTAAGATGCTATAAAAGTACAATGTTACAAATAAAATAGGATGTTAATT